AGTAGGAGAACAACGTAATCTCTTTGTGCAGTGACTCCCCTTAAGCACTTGCACTCAGAATAACTTCATTCTTTTTTTTGGCATTGTCTTGAATGTGTTTTTTATATTATAATTCAAATACATTGGATTTGTAATAGGTAATGAAACTTAAGTTTTTGTTCCAGCTTATTTATTTCTTTCATTATTAAAGAAAATAAAACTTTTCCCTGTTTACTCCGTATGAATTCTCCTCTGAAAATTATGATGTAACTAACATGTGACCTTTGTCTCCTGTGGCTCATTTGTGGAAGACTTGACAGCCATTGTTTAATGAGTTGTGGGTTCTGTTGTGCACACTGGGCCTCCTCTTCCGATCCATGTAGGTGATGTTCCTTCTCCTCAGTTTGAACACAACCAGGATGATGATGATGATTTTGACTGGCTATTTCCCTTACCAGGACTTGCTCTAGGTACTACTTTCTCTGAAGAAGGAGAACATAACATTTAATCTCTTTTTAACCATGATTTTGCAGGTATGTTCTTTTCTTTCATTTTCTGCTGTATTTTTGATTCTTTCCATTCTTTACTCTATGAAACCCATTTTAAAGGTTTTGTCTTTCCTCCTTTGCCTGATATTAGGGTTCATGTAGACTTGTTTCTCGAACAACTGCATACCATACTCATCCTCCTCACCTTCTTTACTCATTTGTTCTGGCGTACAGCCATTTTTCTTTTCCTTTCCTTGATTGCCAATCTTTGGAATTTGTTTTACCTGCTTGGATGGCAGACCACTAAACTGCTACATCACTTTCTGATTCCCATATTTTCATGCCTTTGTCTTTTTCTTACCATCCTTCTACATTACTTCTCGTCACTTCATCTTATTTCTGAGGCATTTCATCATGCTCTCAACTGCCAGCATTTCTTCCTTTACCCATCTAAGCATTAGTCTGATTTTTCCTCGCTTGCTCCAGTCTTTTATACCCAACTTAATTGTCCTTGGTGATATTTGTCTCATGACACTCATCACCTACGTCAATGTGCCTTCTATCCTAGTACTGTATATAAGCACCTCATTCAGATAATGTTGTCACTTTTTCTTGACAAAGTGTCACTAATGGGTTTCCCAATATTACAATCATTTGGAGATACTTTAAACATTATCAGTGTTATCTAGTTGGTTTTTGCAATAGTAATTTATAATTAAAATATTTTTTTTTTATTCTGATTGGGAAGCCAATTTACAGCATGAATTTCCAGATTATTATTTCCTGCATGGAGGCAAATCAGGCCTTTCTTATCCCATCTCTGAGATCTAGCATCACACAACAATTGGAAGAGGAGGGCACTCTTGGTTGATACTGTCAGTGATCTTATTCGTAGTGCGATGGAGACATATGTTAGGATCTGTGGTGGTCCTCTAGGGGGCTCTGAGGCTGCAATTGAGGGTGATCCTTGATATTCTGGAGAGAATTTGTATATGCTTTTTTCTGTGCCCTCTTTTAGTCTATTGACTTTTGAGTTCCCTGTGGGACAATGGTGAGTTTGCAGATTAACAGTGATGGGTTCCGGGGTTCAATTCTATAAGGTGGGTGCAGCGGAGGGCCCAACATTTCTTTGCTCTAATAAAACAAAATATTGTTCTACTCAATGATGAAAAAAAAACCCCCGCTTTGGGATAAGCTGCCTTTGATTCGTTGATCCTTAGAGAATGTGATGTTTTGGGCTTTTTCCTGGTTGCTTTTGAGCCTGCTCCTTACTTGATGGCTGAAAGGTCTGGGAGCAAATTTGTAGTTTTTCTCTCTGTTCACAAATATTGTGTTTCATGTTGGAAGGTTTACTTCAGTTACATGAAGGGACAGTTATGCCTTATCCGACACTTCATTGGAACTTCGTGATTTAGCCTACCACTACCAGGTGGATGCATTTTTTGACTCTTAAATAACACTGTGCACATTATGAGTGGGAAATAGAGCTGTGGTGACACTGTGTAGAGCAGGTCACCCCTCAAACAGTTAATTTGCTCTCCTCCTGTAGCAGAAAGGGTTCTTCATCTCTGTATATGTGTCCGGTTGACTTAGGATGATTCTGGCAATAGAAGAATTGTTTTAGAGATAGATTAAGAGGTGGTTTTCTTGAAGTTTACTAGATTAACTGAGGGATTGATAGGATAACAACCACTAATTATTTTGTGCTATATTCTGAAGATAATATAAGGAGAGAATGCAAGTTTAATATTTATAATACAGTGTAAGTTCCAGCTCACAGAGTTTTATTTTTATAACAAGGTGAGTGACTGATGGTATGAGTTTCTGTAGGCTGTAACTTTACAAATTTAAAAAGAAATTGTTGATTTCCTGAAAGTAAAGGGTGGGTCTAAATTTTTACTTAAGGATGACTATGTAAGAACAGCCTTAATGGTCCAAAGAATCTCTGTTTGTCCATTTGTTATGTAAACCATAAAGTTGTAACAAAATGTTAAAGTGAATTGAGAAGTGTTGTGACATGTTACATAACTCTAAATAAAAAAACAAAAAAAACTTAAGTTTCAAATAGTGGTATAAAAATATTAACGAAATTAGAAAATTAAGGAGTATTGCACTGTTTAAGTATTTGTGTGTGTGTGTGTATATATTTGGTTACTTAAACTAGTGAATACTTTATTTGTACTTCAAAAATTTCTGACTATAGCACTAAAAACTTCTTTAGGAGATTTTTAAATCTTCAGAATATACAGGTCTAACACAAGCAGAATGTTACCCTAACTGATTGATGCAAGTTGGAGCTGACTGAAACTTCATTGATAGCAAAGGTTTAACAATAATCAGTTTTTAAAATAGATATGTTTTCTTTAATATTTGACCAATTTAAGAAGATATTGACAGACAGAGGGCTACATTGCTGGTATCATAAATAACAGTGACATGAAAACTAAGTGTTCTGAATTTCTTTACAAAAATCATGATTGTCAGTTTTTAAGCTTACATGTAACTAAAAAAAATACTAAACTAATAGTGGAGAAAATTAATTAAAACAAAAAACAATAACATTTCTTTAAGAATACTAGAAATTACATTAAACTTTAATTTTCAGAAGATGGATATTATACAAAAAAATTTGGTCTACTCTCACTTTATTATGGAATACCTTGACAAGAATCAAAGACCTGAATTCACTATAAGATAGTCATTCTTTGAATTTCATTTATTTTGAGTGAGATTAATCTACTATTGAAGTCACATGGCACATAATTTGTAGAAATGTAGTGATGAACATGGGCAAAGATAATTAAGTTCTTTGGCTACTTTGTAAGATTTTCTAATGCTGCAACTAATATAAACATGTAGTAGTTCTTGAGTTTGTTAATTTAAAAAAATAGTTTATCCGTTATTCCTTGTGTAACACATGTAGCTGATAAATCTTTAAAACAACCTAATTGTTTACTGTAGATGTACAATTTATGCTGTTACTTCAGTCAAAGAACACTCACTTTAAACTTTTACATAGGTTATAAGTTGCTTTGAAACAGATATCTCTCACTTGAATCATCTAACAGTAGCTGCTTTGTGAATTGTAACGGGGTCATTTTTCTTCCAAGTGTGTATCTTATGTTCAGCTGTCAAGAACCTAGCACTTCTCTACACCCACAGTGTATCAAAGTATAACCACAATATCAAAGTCCTCCAGCTACAGTAGGTATAACCACACCTTAAAATGTGACTTCCCATATCTTTCAGGACAAACAATTCTTGTGACTTAGAGTTTGTAAGTTGTCAAATAATACATAATATTTGAGCACTGTCAAATTTTGTCAAAAATTTCCTTGATAGACATGAAATGCTATATATACACACACATGCATACATAGCCTACCTAGCTATTTTTCTCCTACTGCCTATAATAATTCAATGTTGGATAGGATAATGCCAATACATTGTATTGTTTTATCCTGTATAAAACATAGGTTTAATGAGTTCATGCTTTCAGCTGTAATATTGAAATTTTATGTGCATCTAGTATTAATAATAATTTTATTTTCCAGTTTTGCAACACAGATAAACCATGTTATAAAAAAACTAAGTTAACTGGATATTTGTTTGTTTTTTTCACATTCCCCATAATTTGTCCATTGTGGCTAAAACCAAAAATGTGTAAAAATAACATTTCGGGTCTATCTGGTATTGAATGAAAAACTTAGGCAGTGACTTGGAGACAAAAGACAGACTTAGGATGGACCAAAAAAAATCTGTAGTTAACTTGATATTTAGATATGTTGGTTTATGGTAGTTTTCTGACTTTTGGCATTTAAAGATATAAATCCTGCTGAACACATACAGTGTAGATTCCTGGAATATGCTGCTCTTGCTACTTCTGAAGTTTATTTTATGTAAATTTATAGAGTTTGAGATGATGCTGATTGATGTGTTAGATTATTTTGACTAGTTGGGTATCTGTGGAAAGGTGTGCCTGTTCTTTGAAACAGTAAGATTATTCTACAGTTGTAACACAGTGTTGAAAATTTCACTGAACAGAAATTATGGTGGGTAGGCATTGAAATTATTATTTTGTAGAAAGACAAATATAGGCAAAAGTGTTGAGTGTTAGTGACAGTGTGTATCTTGTATCAACTTTTAAGAAGTTACATGAAAGCTATGACCTGACATATTGCTCATCTGATTAATCAGTCACATCTGGTCATAGAAAATATAACCAGACGTTTGGAGTTTTTTTGTTCAACATTAATAAAGAAAAGCAGTTAAAGCTCAATGCATATGCTATTCTATTGAGTTTAAAATACTTGTGAAACATCAGGTCAAAGTAAATACCAAATATGATGCAACTCTTTTCATTTCTGCCACTACACATGTGACTGAATCACTGCCAAACATATTAAATACACCTAATTATAAAGTACAATGTAAGAGAAGTGAAATTATTTCATCATTGTCCACTCCATCTGCAAAAACTGCAGCTTTGGAGTATGATCCATAAATTTAACCAACTGCATACTTTTACAGCAGGTTATTCTGTTGGAAAAAAAATTAAAATTAACTATTACATTTGGAAATCCACAATATAGTATTATTTTAACTTTCTAGTCTTCAAAACTAGCAAACCTCAAGAAATACATATAGTAAGAAAATAATCTCACATGCTAGCTCTGAACTCCAAATTTCTGGAGTATTCAACATGTGAGCTTTTAACTGGTGGTGTTTTAATCGTTTTGTGTAGTAATTATTTATTTTATATTCTTAAGTAGGAGTAACTTAATCTCTTTGTAGGTTATTAAAACCAATACATTGATGTTTACAGTCATTAGAGAAAACCATGTTGTAATGAGTAGTTAGGAAAAATATCTGTGCATAAAAAAGTTGAACCTGATAAAATTTAATTAAACAATCATTTAAAAATGTGATATTTCAGATAACTCCTAGTGAAGTAAAGCTGATTATAGACACAATGAAGTCCAATCCAGCAGCATTCCATGAGACTGGTATCCATATTGGTGGAGAAAAATACATTTGTTTGTCTGCAGAAAGTACCCTGCTTCGGGGTAGAAAAGGAAGTTCCACACTTTGTATAGTTGCCACAGAAAAGTGTAAGTTCTCCCAAAGTATTTTATAGATTGTCTTTCAGAAACTGCTTCCTACAAACTGGTCATTAGAAATGCTTTTTCTTGTAGTCTTAGGTACTTTTCCAAGGTATCTACAAGGTCATAAAGTAATAAAATTTTGTTGTTAGGTCATAAAATCAAAATGTTTTGTTATTTTGTTTAAAAAATGATGAAGAAAAGTCAGTTCAGATACCTTTTAACAAAACCCATTAGCTCCTTAGATCCTAGCCTAATCTGGACCAATCCAGCACAGAGTAAGAAGCGATTTAACTCTCTTTGTGGCAAAATAATTGATACTGGTCAGCTAGCATCTATTTTGGCTGATTCAGTTTCTAGTGGATGGAATGATCTATCCATTGGGCTATCCTAAGTTTCTGGAACAAGCGAAAGCCTTTTCCAGATGACCTGCATCTAATGAAGATGCTATGTGTAAAGAAAATCTACTGGACTATTTCTATCAGGAAATAGTCGGCAATCTGTCCCAGCATAGAGATTTTTATAGGACAATTCAAGTGGTTATTCTAATTTCCCATGGTAATGTGGAAGTTGAGAGAAGTTTTCAGTTAACAAGAACCTGTTACAAGATAACCTACAGGAAAAATCTCATGATATCACAACATCTAGCACATCAGGCAATCTGCCAGGAGAAAAATTTCCTGGATATCAAAATTGACAAAAAGATGATTAACTGTGTGCATTCTGCATCAAAAAGGCGTGTACAGGAGCTCTCAACTCAAAACCAGCAACTCATTTAGAAAACTTAAAAGGCTTGAGAAAAGGAAAGCTGCTTAATTGATCAAAGAATTGGGAAAAACTAAAGTAAAAACAGTACGCACAAACTAATGCAGCAATGTGTTACATTGATGAACAGTTAAGTGCCTTTAAAAAATCTTGGAGATAGGCTGGTTCTCTTATTGTCTGAATGATTTTTTTCAGATATGTGGTATATTTAAGGGAGTTTTTTATGTTGTCTGTCATATGAAAAAATTTATTTTTCTCTATGTTGTGTGAATAGGTAAATAAAGTATTTCCATAAAAAAGTATTTCCGTAAAAAAACATTCTATTTAAAAGTCATCATTTTTCACACAATAAGAATTGTAGACACCTTGTTTTCAGTACATGTACTATAATCATATTAGGCATTTTGTTTTAGCCATCTGAAGAAGCTAGCACTTTGTACAGTGAATACTTATAATTGCATGAATTATAATTTTTTTTTTTCATTGTGTTAGGCTTATTATTTAGGTATGTAGCTTGAAAGCTATTAATGTTGAGGTGCATGGAACATTTTCCTTGTTAAGAAAAAGCATGCCAGTCAAGCAGCTGTGATAATTTGTTAATAAAGTAAGACATTGGTTTCAGGTTTAAGTAGTTTTTCTTTAAAACATTTTATCTTAAGTCCTGAGGTATATCTTTGTTTTGAAAATTTTATTACCTTTTGGAATATTCTTCTTAGTTCATATGAAAGTTTTTGGGGTATAATACACCATGTAGGAAAACAAGTTTTTATTTTTTGACAGGTTTGCTTGCAGCAGCTAGTTCAGATGGAGTACCAGGTTGCCAGATCAACTTAGTTGTTGAAAAATTAGGGGACTACTTGAGATTTTCTGGTTATTGAGTAAGTTTTTTAATATGAGAGCACAAAGTGTTAGAAACTACACATCAACAAAACTTGGCACTACTGCCTATTAGTGATTTAATGTTAAACAACTCAGTGCAAATTTAAAAAACTACCAAAATATAAGGTTTTATATTCAGCATACTTGATGCCATTTTAAAGTTAAAAATAGTTTGTTCATTTCACTTGTTAAATTATTTATTTAAGTGTTAATTTTGTTCCAGGACCTGACTTAATTCAAAATATCTTAAAAATTTATAAGAAGATGATTTAATACAATACTGCATTGAAATTATTATTTGTCTCAGAGTGAATTAAAAAAACTTTATAAACAAAAAGACAAGAGAAAGAAATTACCATATATAAAATATTACTGATGCTAAGATTTAATTAAAACATTAATTAATTTCAACTTGTTTGAAAAATGATCAGACATACAAATCTGTTTTTATTGCAGTCTTGAATTAACAAATTAATAGGCTCATGCAGTAGGTGTATTGGAGATTTGAACATTTTTCTACTATAGTTTTATTCTAAAAGACTACTTATATAAGGCTTACACCAGACTTTAAACATTGTTTCCACTCTATAGTCTTGGTTAAAATGATGAGTTTATTACTGCTTTTCTTAGAAATTAAATTATTATTATTATTTAATAAAAGTTATCAGACTTTCTAGAGTTACTACCAAAAGTGAGATAATGTAACGTCTTTTGTTCAATGAAAACTATTCCAACAAGTTAAAACAAATCCAAGAAATTTTTTTATTGTAAGGTTGACTTTAGACACAGTATACTCAATGTAACTTAACTTTGTGTTGTACAATCAAAAACCAAACTCATGTTTTAATACATTGCAACAAAATTCAAACTTGTGTGTTCAGGTCATTATTGATGGTGATTATTGTATGGCACTAATTTTTATTTGTGCAGGCTCTATAAAGTTTCTTTTGTATTTTCACATTTACTTATGATTTATAAGATTACAGAACATTTTTTCATGTAACTATCCACCAGTTAGTGTTATTTATGGAATTATAGTTTATGGATAGTTTGTTTTTTTCTTGCAGGTATTTCAATTTTCCTAGAGCACATACACTTCCACTTTCTGTCAACTCTTCAAGCACAAACTGTTGGTTTCTTCAGTAACACTTGTATTACATAACAGCAACTTCCTTTTTTCTTCGGTACTTATGTGGGTTGAGTTTTGAACATAGAATGTTTGCTAGTCACAGTACCAGTGATTGGAAGAATTGTTAATAAGTGGTCCACAAATTTGTCTTTTCCAGAGATATTGTATGGATTACATCATGTTTCGGTAATTGATTCTACAGCATATTGTACCACTTCATTGAAAACTTCCTAGTTTCAGAAGAAATTAGGTTCCTCTGTAGCTGATTACAATCAACTACCATGGAATATTTCAACTAAATCTTTTCTTTTCCTTAAAGTCAAATCTCGGCAGTTCTTTTATTATTATTATTATTTTTTTTTTACTTTTGCTTGTTATCATGTTGATGTTACTTTTATAATTTTTGATGAAATATGAAAAATTATCCATGCAGCTAAATGCAGCTTAACTTTCTTTAATCTTAAAAAAATGTTTTAGTTCAAAACGTAAACAGCTTCAGTTTGTATGTTGTTTTAATGTGCATAATATATTCCTTGTGCCAAGGGTTACTATCTTAATTCTTATTTGACTACCTTGTACAGTATTTGGTATCAAGCTTTCTGGTTAACACAATATAATAAATCGTCATTCCAGTGAGTGTTATGCAATTCTTGTGATTTCTTTTTAATGTTATTTTCAATTATCTAGACTTGTGTTAAAAATAGTAAAAAAACATTACATCCCAGATGAAATTGAAAAAGAAAACTGTTTCCTCTTATACTTGGAATATAATGTCAAATATCACACATTCAGATCCATCCAAGTTTTTCTATAACACATTATTACATAATATTTTAAAAATAGGGACTTAATTACATAGTCATAAATTTTATTTCTGCTTATTCATCTTGTTTGCCGTTTTCAAACATTTACAGATAATGTCATGCGATCTTTGTTTTCTTCCAAAGCTAAAATTGTTTATTTTTTCTTGATTACTATCTTAAAAACAGTTATTCACTGCAATAATTGGTCACTGATTTCCACTGTATGTTTCTTATTAGTCAATCCAGAAAGTATGCATTACCTTCAAATAGGGTTAGTATTTTTGTACTCTGATTAAAATATTAGTATACTGGTCAGTCTATAATGCTGTGACACTAACATGAGATTGAAATGTACTATATGAAACAAGTTTAATCTAGCTTTATACCAAATATCCAACATTTTCTTAATAATGCAGAAATAAAATAATTCTTATGTAAATTATTCGTAGTGAATGATGGTAGTGTAACGGGAGACCGGTAGGCTAGTCATTTGAGGTTCAACTCCAACACCAGTTACAAATGAATTTATTTAAATCCAGGTTATGCAGTTATGAGTGGAGTACACAAGTCACCAACTCAAGGAAGTTTACAGTTAGAATAAAGATTTGACTTGAGACTGAGGTGCAAAATAACATATAAAACTTTAATTCAAAATATATTCAAATATTCATTCAAATCTGCAGTACCAAAATTATTTTGAAAAGCTTCTACGTTAAAAGCATCAAAGTCTTTGCTTGGAGTGAGTAAACTGTTCATTGATTAAACCATCAATAATATTCATTAAATATGATAATATAGTAAACAAATTATCAATTAAAACATTGCACATAATACACTCGGACATAGTTAAGCGTATTCAATCTGGTTAAAACTTCCTCTAATATATCTCTCAATAAAGCTATTACTTCTTCAGTAAATCTTACTAAATCTACAAGTGAGTTCTCTTTTAACATCATCTTATTATTTGCACATTATACATCATTTCCTAATTATGGTGTTAGACTAGAGAGTGTAGCAATAATACTTGCATAGAGTTTGTGTGACGAATATTTTCAATAGATTGCAGTACAGCCATTCTTCTTAATTCTGGGGTCGAACTGGTGGGAAGTCTGTTCACTTCTAGGCTTTGCTGGGAAGAAACGGTTTTTTTTTTGGACCAAAAACATGACTTTTTATTCACATTTTTGTGTTCATACAATGATTAAACTAGCACTACATACTTATACTACAAGTAGATACTCTGTCTGATTGGTTTGATTGTGATGTTTTATCAAACCAAAACAAATTGGTTATGGTCAAAAGCTGTTAAATGGTAGTCTATTTTCATGTATTTCTCCACATCTTCCTTCCAGTAAAAGTCCTGCAAGTTGTTTTATATAGGACTCGCTTTCTTTAGTTAGTGTTGATAATATAAACTTTCTCTCTGCTTCGATCTGTGTCTGTTTAATGTAGGTAAGATAGACCACTGGTTTCTACTTCATATATTGTAGCATGAAATGCATCTCATTGTTTACTTATTTGGACAATCATCTCTAAGAAACTTCCATTATACATTTGCTAGTGTGTATATCTTTTCTTTGCTTGACATGTATGCGTGTCATACATGAATGTTCATGAAAGTTTTATTTTTCATCCACATAAGCATTTGTAATTCTCATAAAATGCCTCAAATGCTTCAGTAGTATTTTTTTCCATAGGTGATATTTTTGTAACTTCAAAATTATTGATTGCTTTCTGGAATTATTTTTAACATATTGTTGGACATTCAAACTCAGCAGTCATATACAAGTTAACATATCTGTATTCTCACTTGTTTAGTTTTTGTTCCTAACCTTACATTCTAATAGTTGTACCATTTTATATCCACCTTTTTTAACACTTAGCTGACAATGACTAACTGTATTTACGACTCTATATTCTAATATTTGTAATGCACCAGGGTAATTTTGTTACATCTTCCTATAAAGAGTTATTCTCATCCCTTGCGCCTGCTTAGATCTTTTTATTCTGATATATATACATATTGTAAGTATCCATTTATTTTGAAATCCAAATATTGATAACTGTATTTGTCTTTTTAACTGTATCTACAACCATGCATCATGATATTTTGTACTGACACTTGCTCATCATTATCACATCAGAGCCATTGCTAGGTACTTAAAACATTTGGGGCTGGGACCCACAGGCATAAGAATTTTTGGTGTTTTAGTATGATATTTTCTATATCTGATTTTTCAAGTCACCAACTGAAGATTTGGGGCACTGTCAAATAGAATAGGAGCACGGACCCTGTGTGTGTCAGTGCCTAGCCATGCCTCAGTCTCTCATAATTTTTCTTGTACATCGCATTGTCATGGTTATTGCTATTCTTGAAAGTTCAATATTTTAAACTGTACATTTCAATAGCTTAAACTTGCCCTGCTCTAGTTGCAAACCTGTTATTTACATTTTTTTTTCTCAATAAATTTCTGTCCCCTGGTGGGACAGTGGCAAGTTTACAAACTTATAACGCTAAAATCCTGGGTTCACTTCTCTGTGGTGGATGTAATAGATAGCCCATTGTTTTTTTGCTTCAAAATATATATTTTGATAACCTATTTCACACACTGACCTTGTATAGTATAATGTTTATCATACCAATTTTAGTTCATTAGAATCTTGCTATAATATGCATTTGTAGTTTGTGGAAAATAATTCTAAGAAGTAGAATGTTACTACAGTTTTTGACCCAGCTGCACAGTAAAATTAATGGGGTAGTTTTTAAATGTAGGTTTAATACCAAGTATTCATATTTGAACCTCATTCGTCATAGATGCCATGATAAAGGATATTAGTGTCAAAGAGAAGTGAAAATATAAACACAGAATGGCAGCTTGATTAGACTTCTTTATGAATGAACATATTTAATCTTCTAATGGAAAATTTGGTGTTTAATAATAAGTGAAAACAGTTCAAGACACTATACCTGTAAAAATGAATTCAGTCAGTTATCTTGGATGTTTATTTTAGTTGCAGTGGAAGAAAAAGATGGTAAAAAGTAGGAAGTAAATTAAGCTGAAAAACATTTATTACAAGAGTACATAAGCAGCTATAAGCATGCTGGTTATAGTTTCTAATACATTATGAAAATATTTTCTTATGACTTGCAAACTGCCATGATAGTTCAAAGGGGAAATATAAAGGGGTTACATTTGCCTCTTGAAAAAACAATAGCCTTCAACATTTGGTGACAGCCCAATGGAAAAGACAATTTATGCACTTGTATTAAGTCGTCAAGAAATTATTGGTGTTTTTTTTTTCATATGAAAAACCCGAACAACTTGTATATCAAAACAAAAAATTTATTAAATGAAATAGTCTCCATTCTTATCGATGAAGATTTTTCATCTCACAATCAGGTTGTTAATGCCCTGATTAAAGAAATAACTTTGCTTTGAAGCAAAAAACATGTCAATGTCCTCTTTAACACCTTCCATATTTGCATACGTTTTGACATTAAAATCGTTTTGCAGCGAACGAAAAAGATAGTTTCATATCTGGAGAATATGGTGGGTGGGGGAGAACTTCCCAACCCAACTCCATAATCTTTTGTTGCGTCAAACGTGCATTGTCGTGGAGAAGAAGAACGCCTTTCCGATTGACGAGTGAAGGGCGTTTCTGAGGAAGGGCTTGATTTAAATGTTCCACTGGTTGTGGAGTGGTCCAGTCAAAGTTCTGACTTGAATCCAATAGAAAATTCACAGCGATATTTAAACATTGCAGTCCATCAACGATCCCCAATGAACTTGTCAGAATTGGAGCAATTTTGCCAGGAAAACCTTCTTTATGGAGTTTTCCCATATTCCTTAGATGTTTACGTATTGTTTCATGAGAGACATGCAATTTCAGGACCATTTCACGAGTGTGTTGCCTCAGGTTAGTCTCAACAAACGTTTTCAGAGCATCAATATCAATTCCAACATGTCGTCCCCTGCCATAGTTTTTAAGACTAAAGTCACCTGAACGAAATTTGCTGAACCACCGTTGACACTTACGAATGT